GAACGGCAGCGCCTGGAACGGGAACGGATGGAGAGGGAGAGGCTGGAAAGGGAACGGATGCACATCGAGCACGAGAGGAGGAGGGAGCAGGACCGGATCCAGCGGGAGAGGGAGGAGCTGCGGCGCCAGCACGAGCAGCTGCGCTACGAGCAGGAGAGGCGCTCTGCCATGAGGAGACCCTATGACATAGATGGCAGGTAAAGCCACCAAATGCCAGTGATGCCAGTGGGAAATGGCACTGCCAGGTTCTGTCTGCCAGCCTGGGCTGTGAAAAGCCACACAGGTGCTCTCAGCAGTTGTTGGTTGCATTGAGGTGATTGTGTTCAGCGCTCTTTTGAATTTAATTCCCCTTCTTTTGGTTTGGAAGGAGGAACGACATCAAAAGGCGTTATCTGGGCTAAAATGAATCTTTTGTGTCTTTCAGGAGGGATGATCCTTACTGGCCAGAGGCAAAACGAATGGCCATGAATGACAGGTACCACTCAGAYTTCAGTCGCCAGGATCGCTTCCATGACTTTGATCACAGGGATCGTGGGCGTTACCAGGAGCATTCAATAGACAGGTTGGTGGCTTATCTCCACTGCCTACAAACAAATTACAAAAAAATGTATTTAATCTCATGGTTTGCATTTTAAACTTTTCAAGTGTGGTTTAGTGGCTGTGGACTTTCTTTTCTGAAGCCATGAAAAGATCTGTCCTGTGCCATGAGTTAAAGCTTCTGGCAGGCTTGGGCAAAGTGTTTTAGCAATGCTGTTTTACATATTTGTAGGATTCTGAAAAAATTCTAAATAATACTGTATTTATATGACCTGACATTTTAGTAGGAATATTGTGGACTAGATCCTAGGTCTAACTAATCCTAGGTCCTAATCCCAAATGTGTCACGTTTTCCATAGTTCCAGCCATTTATGCCTTTTGTGGGTAATGGTGATACTTTTTGGGATGAGTGCAGGATTTTTCATCTGTGTTGTTAAATAGATGGATTTTTATAGGCCACTGTATGTTTTACTGTCACAGTCTGATTCTAATAATCTGTTTGTAGGAGAGATGGCTCCAGGACAATTATGGGAGATCGGGATGGACAGGTGAGTTGCTTTATAGAGCTACAGAAATACYTTAACATCTTACAATGTGGTTTTCTGCAGTGTGTATGTGAGATTAAATTTCAGTAGTTGAAAATTACATTGTATTTCCAAACTATGTTGGTATAATCAGGTTGTCCTGTTTACCTTARTAAGAYGAAACAATTCAAAAGCTTKTTTACTATAAAAGCTAGAYACAGTTATTCTGATAGAAACCAAARCAGGTGAGTTGTRTCAAAATGGAGCATTCCAAAAGATTCCRTAAAAGAGGCAAAGGTACAAAGTTCCATAGAATATAAGTTATGAGATTACATGGAAACAACAGCTGAACTGTAGAAATGTTTGTGTTTGAGTGCTGGGGGAAAGCCTTCAGGGCACAGTCAAGCAGCGGAGATGAATTTTAGGGAGTCATAGAACCCTCAGTGGCCTTTACTGTGATATTTGGAGGGACCTGGTTAGGCTGGAGAGTTGGRCAGAGGGGAATTTCTGAAGTTCAACAGCAGGAAATGCCAAGTCCTGGGCTTACCTTATCTATGTGCATTAATAACTCATGGGAGAGAGGATGTGGATGAGATGTAGCCAGGAGTCAGTRAGCACAAATTGGAATATTCCATCTGAAGACAATTCAAATCCCCTAAACTGGGAACACTGGAACAGGTTCCATATGAAACCTGTGAAGTCTCTGGGTGTGAAGATCCTCAAAGCCCACTGAGAGACTCTTCTGGACAGCCTGTCCTGGCTGACCCTGACCCCTGACCAGGRGGTCATCCATCAGGCCTAGWTGATGTCAGGAGRTYCCTTCCATTCCASATGATTSTGAGATGAAGTAATTARAGCWGAGCAACTTCARAGAGTGAACAAATCTATTCTGTGCRGCCCTGTAAGAGTTCTGTGCCTTCCAGCATTACCCAGACGAGCGCCACGGAGGCCCCGACCGGCACTCGCGGGACTCACGGGAGAGCTGGGGGAGCTACGGATCTGACAGAAGGATGAGTGAAAGCAGAGGGATCCCCCCACAGTCACGGTCAGTACCAAAAACACCTCTTTTTCTGCACCTAAGGAATGTTTCCAGGTGTGAAAATTTTTGGAAGTACAGCTCTTTTTTGTCCAGCTTTCACCACAAGTGTGTTGGATAGACTGCAAATGTTTGGATGCCTTGTGGATCAAAACATGCCCTTGACGTGTTTTTTTATTAATAACTTTGCATCTCAAAGTCATCATGCTTTCCATTAATTTAACATTCCTATCAAAGCTTGCTGTTTTCAGGATAGTGGTTCTCCCCCAGTATTTTCTTATTTGKCATCTTAGTTGGTTTGAGCAGAAGGATTCTTTTGAGATTTGATTTAACAGATAGCAATATAAATACAAGATTCACATGAGACTTGGTAAAGCATTTGAGTAAGTTTGTGACAGATTCACATATAAAAACTATTTCATGTGCTCTGGCTCGTGTGAGAAAGGTGGGAATTTGATGTTTTTACAGGGATGGACGTGACTGGGGAGATCACAGTCGRAAGTTTGAAGGGCACCAAGATCGTTCTTGGCAGAGCAGCGTGGATGGAGGGATGATAGGACGGGATCACGAGAGATGGCAAGGTATGGTTCTTGCACAGCTCCTYAGCTGTGCTCTGGAAAGAAGAAATACAGGCAATTATCCTTTGAGATGAAGCTGTGGATGCAAAGGAAGTGTATAAATTTATAAGTTAAAAATTTGTATTTTTTTAGGTGGCGGAAGAGGCAGACCTGGCCATGTGATGCATCGTGGCGGCATGTCGGGGTAAGAACTTTAAAATGAGTAGTTTGTTTTCCTTTTAARGGATATTTCTTCTATTTAAATTGGYCAGAGAAAYATTTTATGGGAATATCAGTTATCTAATTTGCTACTTAAATGTCARGGAATAATAAAATATTCCCCATGGTTTTATGTAGTGAATTATCATGCAAAAAGAACACARGATTCTAGGAACCTGACTATACCAGCATGAGAGAGCATTAAAATGTCTGAATCTCTTTGCAGGCGTGGCAGYTTTATGCAGGGGGGCAATCAGAGTCAGATCATGCACGGAGGAGGAATGCAAGGAGAAGGATTTGCTGGCCAGGAAAGAGCAAACAGACCGAATGATCCTCGTTTCAACCGTCGCTACTGATTGTGTTTGGTTTTTAATGCAARGTGGCAAGTCAAATCTGTTACCCAGGGTTACCATTAATTGTAACTTATGGGCTACTGTAAGTGTAATTTTTTTTAAGCTGCTGCCATATGATGTCACTCAATCCAATGTGAAACTCATTTGTTTTGTAAGGTGTTGTTCATATCCCATTTAAAAATGTTTGTTAATGAAGCATTCCATTTTCCATAAATAAACGCCAGTTTCCAGTTAATTGCTTTGTTACAGCAGTCCCTGTCCAATTGATTTTTTCCGCTGTATGTTAAACCATAATTTTGTTTCAAAGATGAAGTGTCAAAATGCCTTACAGGTGTCCCTTTGCAGCCCCAGAAATAGTGAAATACTGTGTTTCATCTCAGAGCTGTCAAAGTTAACAACCACCAGCCCAGGTACCACCGTGAGACAAGGTTAGTGGATCACAGTTGTCCAAGTTTGAATACCCTGCCACTGCAAAATTGCTACAGGAGCTTGTGGGGCATGCAGTAAAGAATTCTTTTCACCTGGTCTTGTGGCATACGATGTCTGAAAAAGGAGTTATATTCTGTGACAGCAGCAGAGGTGCTTGTGAGCCTCTACGAGTGCTTGTCAGAATCACTTTATTCAGCTGATAGATCAGGGTAGTCCAAAACTCCACCAGCTTCAGCCCAGTAATTTTACTTAGCAATCCATAATTTCCTTAGAAGCATCCACTGGCTCTGCTTTGGTATAATTTTAAGAATGAGTTGAGAACAGACATGATTGAGATTGGTGCAAATGATCTATTGCTTTGTCATGTCCAAATTATGGTTTGTCTTTGTGCAGACATCCCTGGAGGAATATGGCCTTGGCCTTACCCAAAAGATGGCTTTTATGATCCCAAGAGGAAAAAAAATCCTGTTACTTTCATTTATAGGGTCACTGGGGGTTTTTCAGTCTTKAGAGAAGGGTTTTTTATGAGTTGCCTGAAGATATTTTTTCATTCATTAATGGAGAAAGCCTATTACAATGAAGCTTCAAAAAGCAATCATCAAAGGGAAAAAAAAAGTTACAGGAGCTAATGAAAAGCATGGAGAACTCAAGTTCTAAGCATTCCAGAGGTGCAGTATTCTGTTTGTACACAGTGCTTTCTTCAAAGTGATTACATTTGGTTTGTAGCAAAAGCTAAGAMAGGAAGATGAGAGTTGTCAGAATTWTTTTAGTGGGAGGTTTGACCTGGTGAGATGGGGGGTAGACTTGGAACCAAAGTTTTGCTGCTTAAAGAGCAGTGGACGTTGGGAAGTAAGGAATAAATGGGATAAAGGTTATCAGAATTCTGAAATGAGGTGAAACATCTGCCACCTGCACAGCACAACTCCCACRGTTTAATGAGCTTGAAGCTTCCATCTGGACCATCAGGTTTAAGAGCTGCTGATGGACCCATCCTTCAGGAATTAACYTAAGCACTTTTTAAAGCTTTTTGCATCTCAGCCAAATCCTCTGAATTGGCAGTGGCAGTTGGCTTCATCATATATCTATTTGTTAAAAAAAGAAACAAAACAGCAATATTTCTTCATGCTGTTTTAAATTTGCTTCCTAATTTGAGTAAGGACTCATCCTGCTCTCCCTTCCTACTGCTGCCTCTTTTCCTGTTCTGTAGCTGTGGTTTGGTTCATTCTGTAATGATAACAATCCTATCACAAAGGGTTAAAAACACTGAAATCAATCTGTAACTTTATTTTACAATCCTGATGTCCTCCAGGCCACTGGTGCTYCTTACATTTGCCTTGGCTGTGACTGAAAAGTGACCACGTGGAAGTTTTCATCCATGCTGAAATGAAAATATGCAGAGTCTGCCAACTGGGGCATAGTGCAAGCTAGCAAAATGTTTCGTGCAGATAATCTTTGCTCAGTTACTCTCCCTGTGCTTGTACAATCACCATAGGCCATCTTTACAGCATCTTTTACCTTGGTTTTTTTAGTATTTTTTTAAACTCTTGTAGGCTTGGTTTGAGTTAGATAGCATCCACCTCCAAGATTAATTCTGTTTCAGAATAATTCTTTATTTTCAAGCTTTAGAACAGAGGCTGTACTCAGCACASGGCCAGCACTTYATCACAACTCATTTGTGACCCCTGSAGCCTTTGACCAATGCTAAGACAAAGCAATTGTTCCACTCTGCAGGCTAAAACCAACCCAAATACAAATGGAACTTCCAAAGTCTTTTATTGTAGCCCTTACACGGCCAAGCTGCCSTCCACAGGGCTGGACTGAGAGAATCCTGAACCCTGGAGAAGGTGCTCATTTCACAAGATCCTTCACGTATTTCCAGCCTTCTGTTGTGTATTCACAGGCCTTGGTGGGAGCTACAGACAAGGCAGACATGACTGTGTGCACTCCTGCAAGGAAAGCAGAGAAGAATTATTCCAAGATCATCGTAATTCAAGCCAAATTTCCTAATTTTCAAGTCTACCATTGTAGATCTCTAAACTCTGAGCTCTAACTCAACTTTTGAATAATCCATGGTTCCAGTACAGCTTTATTGTCTCAACAGCATTTGTGACACAGAAACTCCAACTTCAGGGCCAGTAGATGAGTTAAAGCAGTTACTTAAGAAAGACAGAGCTCAGTTCTTTTTTTTAAGTTCTGTTTTATTTCTGGCCTTGCCACAGACCCCATGGGTGATGCTGGACATGTCACAGTATTTGTGGACTGTGCTTCCCCAAAATTATGTGAAGACTCTTACATAAAAACTGTGTATTGCTAGGTATTTATAACATGTTTTGGCCTTCAAACAAAGTGACTAAAATTCTAATAACCATGTAATGCTCATCCTTTCTGAAAAGCCTATGGCTGAGTTTAGATTCAATTACTGAGCCGTCATTTTACCTTTATTCCAGGAAGCCGAGAGGGAAAAGTTAAATTTTGGAACACGTGGGAGCTGGAATGAGAGACAAAATATCAGCACTTTGAGGGGATTCACTTGGAATTCACATCACCCTGGCAAAGCCTCTTGACCTCAGAWCTCAAAAATACTGGGGTGTCTGCTCTGTAACCCTCAAAAGCAATCAGATGATGCTTTAAGTCTGGGCTTTGCTCTTTCCTGCAATACCAAATAGGTGCAAAAGGTGGAATATATTATTTAGGTGCTCCTGAAAAAAACATCTCCATGGCTGTCTCCTTACAGTCATCTGTTAGTTTATTATTATCTATAATATGAAAAATGCTTTTCAAACTTACAAGCAGAAACTTCTTGTTTTCTGAGGATTTTAAAATCAAGAACTACCGAACCTCTGCAAGCAATTTAAATTCAACTTGATGAACTCTTAGCAATGTAAAAAATTGGGAGGATAGTATTTCCATGTTTTTTTTTTTTTTTAAAGCACATGGGATCCTTCAAAAGCAGCTTAGGAATCCCATATAGTGAAATATCTGCCAGAGCATGTGCAATCCCTTCCTTCACCCTGCACAGTGCTGGTTACCCCCTCTCCTTTGAAACAACATCTGTGAGCAATGTCTCTGCCCCAAATTTAAAATTTTATTCACCTTCYATTTCAATCCTCTTMAAAATATTTGCCTTGAGAAATCTAATTTCAMCAGTAAAATTCCTGCTAGCTTCACTGGAATCAGACTATCACCCCAATGTTTTCTCATTCACCTTCAGAAGTGTTTGTGTTGCAGGCATCACCTGAGCAGCCCTTACCTCCAAGCCCAGGTAATTTGTCCACTCATGGACAACTGGAGGCACCATTTCTTGAGCTTTTCTGAGTGCATCAGCACCTTGTTTGCCACTGCCCAGCAGCCCCTGGTCATACGCCACATAGACAGCAGCTCCAGCCAGGCCTCCTTTGATGAGAAACCTCAAAGAATTGAAAGCAGAACAGTTCAGTTCATATTATGATCATCTGTGCATCTCTCTCAGTRGGTTGTGACTGCCAAAGAGAGGGTATCAATAAAGAAATCTCATGTCTTACTACAGGCAAAAATYAGCAGAAAAATACCTGCCTTGTCTTCATAGGACAACTATTCCGTCAGCCCCTTGAAACTACACCAAATTCACATTTTATCAGTGGTGGTTTTCAATTAAAAAATGAGGAAGTGTCAGGAGCCTGAAAAGCAGGTCCCACTTCTAAAGTCTGAGGATCACTGGCATGAATGAAATGATTTTGCAGTGGGTAAGTCACCCATGTTAATGATGTGGATCTTGCTGAAAAATCTGATATTAATCTGATAAATCTGACAGGCACCAGTATCTTGTTGAGCTCATTAGGGTACAGTTAACACCTCGCCATGCTGTTTGCTCTGCCAAGGCTTTCAGAGTTTCCCTGCACGGTGTGCAGTTACCACTTTCACATCTCAATAAGAGATCTGAGGAGATTTCCAAATTCACAGGGCAGAGATTTGCTTTCCCTCTAAAAAAAAACAGCTAAAGCCATTGTACAAACCAACAAACCAAAACCTGACAGATAGCAGTACTGCAGTAGACAGATCCAATTTTTGTATTCACAAGCATTTTGGGGCAAAGGGATTCCGCTGCTAAAATGCACTGTTGGCTCTCAAGGATACCCTCGGGCACTTTCCCGCATCGGGCGTGTACGTCTTGATCCGACCTCCGCGCCATCCCGGGCTTATGTTATGTGCCCATGCTTGTCCCCACACAGTCCCAGAGCCCTGCCCGGTGTGCAGTCACACACGGGGAGCTGCCGGGAACGGGAGCGGCCGAGCCCAAGGCAGCGGAGCGAGGTGAGCAGAGGCGAGAGACAGGGCCGGCCGCGGGCCTGGGGACAGGCCGGGGACAGCCGCGGAGCGCTGAGGGGAAGGCCGGGCGGGGAGTGCAGGGGGGAAACGCCGAGTGCGGAGTGMGGGAAGGCAAACAGCGGGTGGGGAGTGCGGGAGGGCAGGGGCCGGGCTGTGAGGGCAGGGCCCGCGGGACTCACTTGACGGCGGGGAACACACGGATGGACATGGCGGCGGCGGGGCCGGGCAGGGACAGCGAGAGTCACGTGACCGCGCGCGGCCCCGCCCGCGCCGCCGCCGTGAGGGGGACGGGCAGCGCTGAGGGAACGGGGCGGGGCTGAGGGAACCGGGCGGGCGGGGCTGAGGGGACCGGGCGGGGCTGAGGGAACCGGGCGGGGCTGAGGGGACCGGGCGGGGCTGAGGGGACCGGGCGGGGCTGAGGGAACCGGGCGGGGCTGAGGGAACCGGGCGGGGCTGAGGGGACCGGGCGGGGCTGAGGGGACCGGGCGGTGCTGAGGGGACCGGGCGGGGCTGAGGGGACCAGGCGGGGCTGAGGGGAACAGGCGGGGCTGAGGGAACCGGGCGGGACTGAGGGGACCGGGCAGGGCTTGAGGGGGCCGAGCAGAGCAGCGCTGAGCGGGCTGAGCAGCCGGTGCCTGAGCAGCCGGTGCCTGAGCAGCCGGCGCCGCTCCTGCCCCTTTGTCGAGTGTCCCCACATGTCGCCCGTTTTTCGCGCTGTGTCGCGGCATGGCGGCAGAGCAGTTTATCCCGCTGCTGTACCTCTGTCCCCTCATGTGGGCTCTGCTGCCACCTCCCTCCTCTGCTCTCTCCTGAGGTACCCGCCTTCGGGATCACTGCTGCCAACTCTCATAAATCCCTAATGAATTAAGCGTTCTCTAAGATTAGACGTGAGGGTTTGTTTTTTTTTAACCCTGTAGGCTCGCGGCGTGTGGAGACAGGCTCTTAGTGCAGAGGGCTGTCGCAATTGCCGGTGAAAGATCCTTTCTATTTTTTACTGAGGTGGCCGTGGTTCCCAGGGGAGACACCTCTCAGGTGTGGTCCCGTTCTACAAAAGCCTCTTGAAGGCTGGCTCCAGGCATCACAAGGAAAAACACTGTTTTGGCTGAAGTGCTCGGCTTCAAGACTTCACTTTGTTCCTYACAACTTGGAGGGATATGAAGCCAATTGGAAAAGTGCTTTGTGCTACAGGGGTTGTGGCTGGGCTCCTAGCTTTCTTCTGGAAAGACGATTTTAACCCAGGTAGGCTCACCAGGGGGATGATTTCAAACTGAAATGTAAGTCRCACAAGAGAAGAGGTTGAATTTCCAAATTTTGGCTGATGAAAATTCTGGAAATTCTTCATTCCTGCCTGTAATCTTATTAGAGTTGGTGGCCCCAAAGCMATGTTTCATTCCCAGAAACAAAAAGAAGCTTGAAAGAAAGAGAAAGACAAAATGGTCTAAGAGAAGGGATCCTGCTGTCTGTGTGGGGGAAAAAARTGGCACTTYGCTACTGCTTTTCTCTTTTGWTGTATTGGCTGTAAATTCCTTGGTGCCAAGAACCATCTCTGTAGGTGTGCAGTGCCCGGCACTAGGAGGGCTGATGTGTATCCAAACTGATGGCAAATATATGCAGGAGGCATTTCTTCACCTAATTCTATATCTTTTATTCTTTTTTTCCATAAAAAAGAGAGCTTGTCTGGTGCCCGTGTTCTCGTGACTGGAGCCAGTGCTGGCATTGGAGAGCAGATAGCATATCACTATGCCAGATTTGGTGCTGAAATTGTGCTGACTGCCAGRAGGGAAGCTGTGCTGCAGAAGGTAAGAACCTCTTCCTTGTATGAGGGAAAGACATGAGAGATTTGGGCTTTTACCAAACCAACCAAAAAATTAGTTGTCAGCATGATAAATTTTCCTTCAGAACTGTTGTTAAGCATAAACATGTACAGGACAATGCATACACAGTGCCTGAACTTTTCACTGCCTGAACATTTATTTATGAGGGAACGGTGTGAAACTGCATCGGGGAAAGTTCAGATTGGGCATTAGGAAAACGTTCTCCACTGAGATRGTGGTCAGTCACTGGAGCAAGTTCTYCAGGGAGAAGTGATCATGGCACAAAGCCTGTCAGAGATCAAGGAACATCTAGACCACATCYTTAAGGATATGGTTTGGTTTAGGGAGTCCTGTGAGGAGCAGGGAGTTGGATTTAATGATCTTTATGGGTCCTTTTCTATTTGAGATACTCCATGAACTACAATTCCTGTGTGATATTGTGCACCTTTTCAGARTCCAAACTGTTCTAWTTGTAGCTGTATTGTTAAAAASTCAAGCCTTTTTGTAGGTTAAATACTTTTTGACCAACTCAAATAGATGAGWCTTCTTCATCTGTACTTTATGAAATAGGACAATATTTAGAAATGGTAGCTCTTGAACTGTGGGGATATGTGACTTCCAAGGGAAGTTCTTCACTGTGAAATGGTGCAAGAGGGGAGTTGGGGACAGTGAGCATAATGATAGTTCCTAATGACTGGAAGGCATTATTTCAGCAAATAGCTAAAACTGCATATCATTGCCAGGCACATTCACGTACTCAACACAGCAAAGAAATTATGAATTCTTTTCCAGTTACTTTGGAAARAAAGAGAAGACCGTAATGTAAAGCATAACCCTTATTCCAGAAGATTTCTCCTGAAGAAGATTGTTTTTTTCAGGTGAATCTTGATCCTTTTCAAAGGTAGATTGTTTGAGCAGACAGTTAAATAGAGGTAACACTTAGCAGGATGCACATTCRAAATCTGGATGCAGAATAAATTTTCCATGGCCCAAAGAGCAGTAAATTTTAAATTAAAGTGTGTCTCTGTTCAGAACTGACTCTCACTAACTGTAGTATGTGCTTTATGATACCCTTTTTTCCTATTCTTCTTCCATATCGTTTAATCTTTGGGGTTGTGCTTTTTTTCAAGGTGATGGAGAAATGCCTGGCACTTGGAGCAAAGAAAATATCTTATATCCCTGCAGATATGTCTTCCCCTTCAGTAYCTGAAAAGGTGGTTCAGTTTGCTGTCCAAAAGCTGGGTAAGAATCCTGGGCATCTTTGGCTTTCAGGGATGTGGACAGTTCTCATTCTAGCAGGAGCTTCCTGCTTCAGTTCCCTGAACTGAGAGGGATGTTAAGGACATAGATGTACCACCAGAACTAAGCTCTGAGTCTGAATCATGGATGTGGACAGTTCTCATTCTAGCAGGAGCTTCCTGCTTCAGTTCCCTGAACTGAGAGGGATGTTAAGGACATAGATGTACCACCAGAACTAAGCTCTGAGTCTGAATCATGCTGAAACATCATTTCAGAGAATTGTTGCCAAAGTCAAACAGTTTTCCTTTCAATTCTACCCCTGAGGAGCAGTCAAAGCTGCTCCCAGATGGGCATATTTAATCTGGCTTCATGGTAAAGCACTTTCTAATCTCCTGAGGGAGTGTTTCAGCCCTCCTGGCATTTCTGAGCTCCCTGGTTGATGGTTAGGGGATGGGCCCTTTGTTTGACTGCTTTTTCTGCTGTCCAAGGGGGCCTGGATTACCTGGTGTTGAATCACATTGGCACGAACCGTTTCCAGATGTGGACTGGAGATGTGGAATACACCGGCTGGCTCATGCAGGTGAGGCTTCCCAGCTCACCTGGAACRTGGTGAGCCTGACCTCTCCTGGGACAGCTTTGGGAAGCTCCAAGGCATCTGTGGCAATGGYTGAGAACAAACCTTTTATTTCATTCATGATTGAAGTGAAACTTTGGTGGGTTTGCTGCTGGAAAATTGATTTGCTCAGCTATTGAACATTAGTGAAGAGGAATGTTTGGGAAGAACTTCGTATTTCTCTCCTTCCTTCTGTTCTCTCTCCCATTAGCCCAAGACTTTACAACTAATGGGCAGTTACAGGCAGTTGTGTCTTGTTCAGAAAGGCCAATAAATGATCAGCACTTCCTACTGATCTATGGCACATACACAAGTGCAGAACACAACTAAGGTTGTTTGAAATGGTGTCTGCACTCTGAGTCTCTGTTCAGATTTAAAGGTACCAGGTTTTGGGGCCTTGGAAACGAAGAGCTCTTTTCTTGATTCAGTCTTCTTATTCCGCTGGGTCATACTAGTTTCTATTACATTTTGGAAGGAGCCTGTTTGCTGGAGAGTAGGAATTTGGGAACATAGGTAAGAAATTCTTGTAATTTAAGACAGCAGTCAAGCTCTGAAAAGATGCTGAATTTTATGCTTCACTGTAGGCTGAGTTCAGTGAAGAGGAACTTTAAAAGGGRGCAAACTGAGACTGATTTCTTTGATAGGGATTGCAGAGTAAAGAACAGCATACAGTGAAAGCAAGGGATACCTAATTGTATCTTAAAGCCCAGGAATAACTTTTGCTCTGAATCTTCTCTACTGCTTTTTCTGGAATCCGAAAGACTCACGATGCAGTATTTGTGCCTGCCTTTACAGAGATAATTTTTCTCACTTGATGTTTGAAAAGCCAAATCCAAACCATGCTCCTTTCCATTTCTGACCACGGTATTGACTTTCTGGCTCATGCTTTCAAACCCTCTTGTTTCTTCCATGTCTGCATTTCTCATTCCAGGTGAATTTTCTGAGTTATGTGGCACTTGCAACAGCAGCTCTTCCCACCCTGGAGGAGAACAGAGGCTCTCTGGTGGTTGTTTCTTCCCTTGCAGGTTGGTGGYTTTGCCTGGATTAAGTGCTGGCCTTGTAGAAACAATGGTTCCCAGTATTGTTCATATTTCTGTTCATATTTCTCTGGTATTCAACCAATACCTAAACACATTTTCAATCTGTGCTTTTTATAGTATATAGTAATATTGCATTGTTATTATTACTATTGTTGTTTTTGTTGTATAGAGGGACACTCACCTTAACAGAGTTCATGATGCAGTATGAAAAAGCCCCCATCTCTGCCCAGATTCCCTCTCCATGGATCCTCCTTACAGCCAGTTTCCTGGTGTTTTCCATTCTCTCTTCTCCATTTCCAGGGAGAATGCCCACTCCCTTCACCACTTCTTACTCTGCCACCAAGTTTGCACTGGATGGATTCTTCAGCTCACTGCGCCACGAGCTCATCATGCAGAAGAGAAATGTGTCAGTCACACTGTGCATCCTGGGCCTGATTGACACTGATTCAGCACTGGAGAACATCAGGTAGGTATTTGGAAGAGGGTGTAGGAATTGGGAAGAGTTTGTCTGCAGGAACGTCTCTTCTTGAAAACACAACTGTGTTTAGGATGGCGTGTGCACCTGTTTGGGGAGAGTGCACCTGCCTGGGCACATCATGGAGGTTGCTCAGCATGGAATAGGAGCAGGCAGAGCTCTGTGGTGGTCAGCCTGCCSAGTTCTAACCCCGTCAGGGACTGCCTGGCTCTGAGTGATGCTCTGCCCATTCCCTTGCAGRGGTAAAGTGCACCTCAGTGCCTCACCTGCTCCCAAGGCTGCACTTGCCATCATCCGGGGAGGAGCCACCCGGGTGCCTGAGGTTTTCTACCCACGGTGGCTGCAGCAGCTCTGCTGCTTCCGGGCTTTGTTCCCCAGCACTGGGAACCAGGTGCTGCGTACTTTCTATAACTACACCAGTCCTTAAGGGATGCTGGTCCCCTCTCCCATCCCATATCCCTTCTAATCACATTCCTGCCATCCCAACCAGCCACTGGTGTCAAGCAGGAGCAGGGCAGCAGTGCTGGCAAAGTAACCTTTTCTTAACATGACTCTTGGCTCTGATCCTGCTCCAGCCATGGTTCTGCTGYTGCCACCCATCAGTCAGAGATCTTTCCCACTGTTCACTCTGTCTTAGCCTTCCTTCCATCCCCCCTCCCCTCCTTCTCCACCCTCACCTATTTGCTTTTACTGCATCCAGCCTTCTCTCAGCCCCAGTTTTATGCTCTGTCTGTCTGTACAGGATGTCCTGGAATATCTGTATATTCCCGGGACGTCCTCCTCTACTACCTATTTTTTTTTTTTTGATTCTGTGAACCTTCTTCCTTCCTGTAAGTAGAATTTTAATCTCTGTTTTCATTAAACAGTTTTTAATGTGTTGGTGTTATGTGTTGATGCTTCCTCTGTGAGGAAACACTGGCCATGTGGATTCTGTGGGCAAAGATCTGTTTCCTGGGACCTGTTAAATTAGCCCCAGGGCTTTGGCAATGTCTTTAAGTGTAAGCATTACCTAAAAGCAGGTACAACCAACAACATGAAGTAGAGCCCCAGTTACTTAGCAAGTAAAACTTTTATTAAATAAATTTAGGATTTTTTTTTTGACCGGAGTGAGGAATTTGACATTGACAAAGCTCTTATCGCACCTGTAACATTGTACAGTCACATCAGTAACTGTGATGGAAGAAACTGTAAATGCTTGTTTTAAACCAGCTTGACCTAGGATTCCCAAAGTCCTTTTTTTTTCCATTTTGCATTTGTTAATCTTTTTTCTTTTTTTTTTTTTTTTTTGTTCAAAATTAGACTAAGTTTAAACTTCATGAAATTACTTGTAGCAGAAATAAAGTACATTATACAAATCACATACATAATAGATGTTAAGTATAAAAATGGTATTTACAATAAGTAAACATGGACTATAGAAACACACAGACTCTCACAGCTTCATTCACCTCTCATAAACTCTCAGCGTCAGACACAGAAGGGTGGTTGAGGAGATGTGAAGGTACTTAAAGRACTGTGCCACAAACACCTGAACAAAGGGCAACTGGAGGAGAATGAGAGTTGGCTGAGATTCTCCAAAATCCCCATAGCTCACTTTAGTATCAATTGCACCAACTTTGCCCCACCAACTCTCTGTTCCTATTTCAATGTGCTCACACACCCTCACACRCACACCAATGTTTGTGGTACCTTATCAAACTCTGGAATATTGAAGTCGTTCATTCCTTAATCGCTCTGGGGCTTGTTGGTCTGTTCTGCCTTGCTTTCCTTTCCTTATWTTTGTAGAAACCTCAAGAGACTGTTCCAAACTGTTCAAGGGATGTGCCTTGTCAGTATGACACACCCCCYTCTCCCAGGGGATCTTTTTAAAATCAAGTTCTGAACTACATTCTGTGCTTTAGAGTATGTGTATATAGTGTATAGAGCTGTCCCTACATATATATTTGTATATATATATGTATATGCTGCATAATGTATAATCTGTCTCTTGAAGGGGGTTCTGGGGGAGAAAACCCCAGAATGGAACCCTCTTTCATCCTATTTTCCTTGCATCTGCTGGGGAAAGCTTTGCAGCAGGTGCGTGATGAGAGTCCCGCTGCTGAATTCAGAGGGAGAAAACGTCCTGTTTCATCTGGAATGAGAACTGCCCGCTCCCCAGTGCCGGGTATCGGACACAGGGAGGCAGTGTGCAGCCCCTGGGAGGCTTCTCTAACTGTGCTGGAGATTGCATCTGCTCACACTCTCTCATCTTCTCCTGCCTTCATCAAGAAAAAGCTGTTGCCATGGAGAGCTGTGAAACATGGATCTGTGCCATGTGTGGGGAGGCAGTGCAGTTCCTCTAAGTAAAGGGACTGGTTTCTGTGCTTTCAGCCTAATCAGGGAGTGCTCAGGGAAGGGTCTGGCACCACATTCCAGGAGCTTTGTCCGCAGAAGCCCTTGGAAAGGTAAGACTGAGAGCTCTCTAGATCCTTAACCAGGCTGGTGCTAAGGTGGATGAGTGACTCAAGCTGAGCAGCTGACTGTGCCCTAATCCTGGAGGAATGTATTTCTCCTTCTTCTTGCTTGTGTTGAGCAGAGAGATGTGCTCTCTCTCTCTCCCCAACCCACCCCCAGCCCCCTCTCTCTTCAAGCATCCTCCCAAAATGTTCAGGCCTATTTGCAGTGCATGCTAAGACACTGTTGCAAAGGTAAAACCCTAATTTCCAATACCTCTTGCAAGCAGTCAGTCTCTGAATGGAAAAGTTTGGTCCTGTGAGCTAGTTTAAAAAAAAAAAATAGAGACTGTATATATTTATAGTTATCTATGAAAGGGCCAGAAACAGAGCAGGAGGGAGGGAAGGACGGAAGTAAATTTCCACACATCACTGCAGTAACCTAGAGACACACCAGTGGGTTTGCTTGGTCCATGGACTCCAGCCACACCCCGAGAGGAAGAGCTCCGTGTCCCCAGGGGCTGCTGGTTTGCTGGTCCCTTTGCTTTGCACCACGTTAGCAGCAAATATACGAGTCCAGGCGTGGCAAGAATCTTCCTCCTGGGCAGATATTGAGCCTTCTCTTTCATTGCATGTCTTGGAGAGGAGGGGAGGAGGAAGATGGGGTGGGTAAGGTGGGAAGCCGAGGAAGGAAAGGGGTGGTGTCAAAAGAGTCGATAAATTTACTGGCCTCTCTGTAAATCAACCTGAAGCAGAAATTCTTCCTCTGGACTTTCCCTTCACCTGAACAGAAAGGGAGGAGGGAGGGAATTGGAAGATTAGGAGGACATCTATGCAAGCCTCAAGCTTTGAGTTGTTGCTGCTGCTTAAATGTGGAGGACTGACCCAAACCAGATCAGCCTCTCCCARTCTATAGGCTGACAGGAGCTGCCTCCTGGACAGCAGCTCTCATGTCAGGCAACTTGTCTGTGGCCCTTCAGGAACTCACCTTTTCTCTGCTTTTCTGTGATCCCTGTGAATCGTGGGATTGTCTCTCCTTGCAGACTAACTTTAGGGCCTGTGTAACAATTGCAAACTACTGGTGTTTAAAACCTTCTTAGGCGGTCAAAAGCTTCTTGGGAGCAGTTGGGCAGGAGACTAAAACGTTGCTTAGACCACAACAGGCCACTGGAACCATCTGCCTGTCAGCGCCACGAGTGCACTGACCAGCCTCACCTGCAAAATCTGCCCATGGGGTCCAAGAGTCTCCTGCCAGCTCTGTGCCATCAGCCTTTGATCTACAGCATGGAAGTGCCAGTCTCCATCTGTTCATGGACTCTGCTGGCCATGGATCTTGTTACCTGGACTCCAACCCTTGAACTGCCTTCCCACCTTGATGTCATTATAGACCTGCCTGGCAATCACTGGACAATGTCTGAGCCTGTTCAGCTTTACCAGACCTGATCCTGATCTTGCCTCTCTGCCACAAATTTGCCTGAWGATTGCTGAACCCGGCCATCACATCCAGAGCTGTGCCCTGATGGTGCCAGTTTACCTGTGCTGCAGAAGTGACTCCTGCTTGCTCACTGCTGTCAGTAGGGATGGTTGGCATCCTTGGGCCGTTTCAACTGGACCTTCAAGCGTTTCATGCCAATCTGGAAGCCATTCATGGCCTGGATAGCAGTCTGTGCACTGGAGGGGTTGTCAAAGCTTACAAAACCTGAAGGACAGGACACGGGATGGGTGACAGTGGCACTGTTGGTGCCATGTCCAATATGAATATCACCATTAGGGATCACRCTCCCCTTGCCTGATCTTACCAAAACACTTGCTCTGGTTGGTKGCACGATCCATGAACACCTTTGAGGAGATGATATTGCCAAARGGCAGGAACATCTGCATCAGCTCGTTGTCTCCAAACTCCTGGGGGAGATGGTAGATGAAGAGATTGCAGCCTTCAGGACCTGCAGGTATGGGGACAATGGGGAAGGACAAAACAGAAAGCCCCCAAAGGGCAGGGGAAGAGAAAGAGCTCAACTCACAGCACAGCACTGGAGGAGAGCCCTAGCACTGCCTCCCTCTGCTCTGACCTCCTTTGCTTGTCTCTCYGTCACTGAGGGGTTCTGAGGGCTGTCTAGGAGCAACTGGGAGGCTCTGTACAAAATCAGACTTTCTTGGCAGCAAATTCTCTTTCAAAGCTTGCCTAGTTCCTACACAGGGTGCTGGACACAACCAGCTCTGTGAGTGTCTGGGTGCTGTTTGCTGRAAGGAAATCAGCTGAGGTGAGAGCTCTCAGCTGTCCCAATGCTGGGAGAGCAGCAGATATTGCTGTGTGAAAGCTGCTGCTCTAGAACTCCCTGCACTGGTGCCTTCACTCCATAAGCCACAGCCTAAGCTGGAAACCTCCTGGATTGCCACACATCCCAYTGATGGGCTGAGCGGGTCCTGTCCACTCCTCATGAGCACCACATGCTGTTCACTTGCTGACACTTGCTGTACCAATCAGYAGGAAAGAGAAAATGCATTTGCCCCCAAATTCTGCACCCAGTTTTGAAGTTKAAAATAAATTCAGTAGGCTATGAAGGCTGAAAATTGAGGAGGGTACATTGGAGGGGTTGTTTGACTGGTACCACTGTGGCTCTGGCATCAGTAGAGAGGGGGATAAGTGCTCTTTTCCCCTGATGCACAGGGAAGGTGCAGACTCTCATCCCGTTTGGTGTCAAAGTTTGTTGTTCCAGGGCCTACTGCCCCTTTGTGCCTGGCAGTATCTGGCCAGAGAGGAGCTCAGAAGTTTGCACAACCAGCATCCTGTGATCCTTCCCAGTGCATTCACTGCAGAGATGTGCTTTGCATAACCCAGCTCCAGGATTAAAGATCAGTGAACAGAAATCAGTGCTGTCTCATCTCCATTGGCTCTGTGGTGCAGAAGATGAGCTCCACAAATCCCACCCACGTCACGGACACACCTATTCCCACTGTGATCCTCACCTTCTCGCTGCTGCTGCTGCAGGATGGGAGGCTGCTGAGGGATGCTCTGTGCAATGGGGGTGATGGTGGTGGTCGGATACACAGCTGTAGCCCAAGGAGACAGAACAAACCGTTTACCTGAGGATCTGGTCAGCCACACAAGGGCCTGAGGGAGACAAGGGAAGCTGGTACCTGCATACTGCTGAACTCCTGTGAAGGCTGGGTGCAAAGTCTCTGCTACTGAAGGGCTCTGGGCTGCAGAGAAAAACAGAAGCACAGCAAAGGGAATCACTCATGCATTCTCTGTGTGTGTGTAGTGTTGATTCCCACCCTCGCCCCCAAGTGAGTCTCAGTGCCTGGCTGGGAGGGAGCTACAAAAGTGTTCTGTGTGGGGAATCCAGAAAAGAAGA